GAGAGAGAGAGAGAGAGAGAGAGAGAGAGAGAGAGAGAGAGAGAGAGAGAGAGAGAAGAAGAAGAAGAAGAAGAAGAAGAAAAAGAAAGGAGAAGACACAGAAAACAAAACGAAGAATAAGGAGGAAAGATAGAATGAAAGAGAACAAGGCAACAGGGATATGGAGAGAGAATAAGGAAACGAAGACTAAAAGATAAAATGATAAAAAGAGGAAAATGGAAACGAGACGACTCACATATCGCCTCCACACAGTTCTTTGATGCGGTTTACAGGAGAAAAGCGTTTAAACCCACGTTCCTCTGTGAGCAAAATCTAACGAAGTGAAAATATTAATCTTGGCGATATTGACAACTTTTATAGCAAACGTTTTCCATTTTTAGAACAAGATTATTTTTATTTCTGTCTCGGTTTCCTTCTACAAAATCACGTGTTTGTCATATGCTAGACTGCATTTTTCGAAATGATACGTTGTACGAGTTTAATATGTATTTAATGTAATCTAATGTAATCTAATATGTAATCTAATTCCCAAAAGTCTAACTGTGAGATCCAACAAGTTTTCCCCTCAGTAATGATAATGATACTGATACTGATAATGATAATGATAATGATAATGATAATGATAATAATGATAATAATATTGATAATGATGATAATGATGGTAATAATAGTAATGATAACAATAATAATAATAAGATTGATGATACTATAACATAATAACAATAATAATAACAGTAATAACAATAATAACAGTAACTATATTAATCATAATAACAATAATGATAAAGGTAATGATAATAGTATTAATAGTAATAATAATAATAATAATAATAATAATAATAATAATAATAATAATAATAATAATAATAATAATAATAATAATGATAATAATAATAGCAATAATAAAATAATAGTAATAATTACAGTAATAACAAAGAAAACAGTAATAATGATAACAAGGATAATGAATATAATAATAGTACATATAAGAGATTATAATTATAAAATAAAAAAATACAAACAATCGATGAAATAAATTCCATCCACAGCACTAAGCATTTGGCCTTGTGAAGGAAGTGGTGTTGTTTGCCAAAGATTTTCTGTAGTTCGTTTGTTAGTATTCTAACTCGCTCCAGACAGTGGAATATTCAGTATCAAAAAAGGAACATTCAGCCAAGAGCGAGCGAGCGAGAGAGAGAGAGAGAGAGAGAGAGAGAGAGAGAGAGAGAGAGAGAGAGAGAGAGAGAGAGAGAGAGAGAGAGAGAGAGAGAGAGAGAGAGGCAGAGAAAGAGAGAGAGAGAGAGAGAGAGAGAGAGAGAGAGAGAGAGAGAGAGAGAGAGAGAGAGAGAGAGAGAGAGAGAGAGAGAGAGAGATAATGAGTGAGTAAGTGAGAGAGTTAGTGAATGAGTGAGTGAGATAGATAGATAGATAGATAGATAGATAGATAGATAGATAGAGAGAGAGAGAGAATGAGTGAGTATGTGAGCGATCGAGCGAGCGAGTGGATGAGAGAGAGAGAGAGAGAGAGAGAGAGAGAGAGAGAGAGAGAGAGAGAGAGAGAGAGAGAGAGAGAGAGAGCATGAGAGAGAATGGGTGAGTATGTGAGCGATCGAGCGAGCAAGTGGATGAGAGAGAGAGAGAGAGAGAGAGAGAGAGAGAGAGAGAAAGAAAGAGAGAGAGAGAGAGAGAGAGAGAGAGAGAGAGAGAGAGGGAAGAGAGAGCCTCTTTAGATTCAGAGAAAAACAGACTGACAATGATAAACGGCTAGGTAGATAAGTATAGAGAAAGAAAAAGAGAGAAAATATATTAAAATTAACTTCATTAGTTTCAAGATTTTCTGTTCGTGTTTATCTTTCACTTATTCATTTTTTTTTATCTCTCTTTTAGAGAAATATTTCATTGCCTTTGAAAATCAGATCGACACCCACGTCCTCCAGATGGAAAACCAGCTAACACTTTTTTCTATCTTTTTTTTTTACCTCCAAACACACGATCATCAAAAGAGAAAAGACAAAAAAAAAAAAAAAAAAAAAAATAGTTACACATTTCACTTTCCAAATTACACCAGCATTTGAGACCCGAGCATAACGAAAATCATGACATTTTTTTCGATTTTTTATGTGGGGGGGGTGAATAATTTGTGTGGTTTGGCCTCTTCGGACGACCCAAAGCTACTTTTAGCCTCCTGACGTCATCTAGATCTACCCTGAGGGCCTGGCGACGCCCAGTGGATGCCGGCACCCTGACGTGTCACCAAATTACCCGGCTCTCCTCCTCGGTCTTGAAGGTGGCACTGTGTTAGAGTTTGCTTCCTCCGCTGCTGTGAATCACGGCGCGAAAATAAAGATGTAAATGAGCGGTTGGTGTTGGTTTAATTGTCTTGTAGGATGTATGTGATATGTTGGATTATGGGTATGATTGGTTTTGGATGCGAGTTCATTTTTATTTTATTTTTTTTTTCTTCAAGTGCGCGTTTGTGTTCTCTTCGTGGGCATACCTTGTCTTCGTTTGCTTAATTCCCGATCCCTTAACAATACCGTAATATTTATTCCTTGCTTGTTAAAAGAAAGCTCCACCAGCGACTGTATTCTGAGCTATATTTTTCTCGTCACAGTAACCCAGATATGTTTCATTCTAATTATATGCTCTAATTAACGTCATTTAATCCTTTCGGGTCCGGTGATTATCCCTCGCCTCCGACCCTAAACATTTAAGTGCTTTGGCCAACTTGAAACAAACGCCATTACAGCTGTTCGAGCGGTGAGACAGAGACGCCACCTGTATGGAGGTAAATCTTCACACCTTTTTCATAAGCAAAACGCATTTCGAAAACAACAGAGATCATACCCCATTTAATCTCCTTTGATATGGGATTTTGTATAATCAGGTGAGCTTAATACGTTTTTTTTTTACCTTCTTTTTATCTTAAGTTCAGTCAGATGTTTCAAGTTCTCGGACTAAGACTAGTGATCGCTTCTGAACAATCCCTTGGCTGTAGACTCCGGAGAGAAAAAATATCTATGCGATGTATGCTTGCTCGCTTTGCCATTTCTGCCTTGTTAATGGATCAAGTGAGATCTGAAATTATTTGCAAAATCTGGACTATTCGTACGCGAAAGTTTTCCTTCTACACTCTCCGTAATTTTCTAATTTTGGGTCTGGTCTTAGGCACTTTGAAAGTTCTGTTTCTCTTAAGCTTGTGGTTTTTTGGGAAAAAAAAGGAAACTGGAATTAATTATAATTTGACATATCTTCATTTTCTTCGGTGCTTATTTCTTAATTATTTGATTGCTTAATTATTTGATTGTATTTGCTTGTATTTTTCCCTGATGTAAAAATCCATAAACTGAGTTTCTCTCGTGTTCTTAAAAACATAACTAGGAAAAAGAAAGAAAGAATTTATCTCTATCAAGTACCATCTAACAACACAACTAAAAAAAAAAGAGCGAGAGAGAGAGAGAGAGAGAAAGAGGGAGAGAGAGAGAGAGAGAGAGAGAGAGAGAGAGAGAGAGAGAGAGAGAGAGAGAGAGAGAGTGAGAGAGAGAGAGTGAGAGAGAGAGAGAGAGAGAGAGAGAGAGAGAGAGAGAGAGAGAGAGAGAGAGAGAGAGAGAGAGAGAGAGAGAGAGAGAGAGAGAGAGAGAGAGAGAGAGAGAGAGAGAGAGAGAGAGAGAGAGAGAGAGAGAGAGAGAGAGAGAGAGAGAGAACTCATTATTTGATTATATATGTTCACCAAACGAATATCATCTCTGACTCAAAGCTATTCTGATATCTCAACCTAATCGTAATTTGCATAACCACATCACGGGCCACGAAATCACCCAAAAAATACGAAATACGAAAAATAAAATATTCATCCTGTACAATATTGAAAGAACAGGTGCGTATGTCCAGTATTCACGTCGGACTCGAAAGTTCAAAAAGGAAAGAGAGAGAAGAAAATTAGAAGGTTAAAAAGGAAGAAGAAAAAGAAGAAAGAAGAAGAAGAAAGAGGTGAAGAATAATAAGAAATGAGAAGAAAAGGAAGAAGAAGAAACAGAATATGAATAATAAGGAGAAAAAGTGAACCAGAAGAAAGAAGAAGAAAAAAGAAAGGACTAAGAAAATAAGAAAAAAAATAAATAGAAAAAGAAGAAAGAGAGGATGAAGAAGATAAGAAAAAATAAAACAGAAGCAGAAAGAAGGCGAAGAGGAAGACGAAGACGAAGTTAAAATCATCCAATAATTGTAATAAACAAAATGAATTTATAGTTATCGCGTGGATGACGAATGGATAATTTAATAACTAAGTAAAAATATGCATCTGGCGCAAATAAATTAACTATATTAAGTTTTTAGAACGGTTTATCGTTTATTGTGAATAAAGCTCGGCATCAAAAGTCCTCCTCAGTTGTCGGTCCAAAGAAATGCAATTAAATTAACCATTTATCTAGTGTTCGGTATTAAATCATTATCTCCTTTTCTCTCTAATTATCATCATCCATGTCCGTATCTTCGTAAATCTTTTCCACTTCGTTTTTCCTTTTCCCTTTCTGCCTTTTTCTGCCCCGAGGCGCCTCCCGGCCAGCCATCCGGTTGTCATGGCGACGGAAGACGCTTGGCACAGTGCCAGAGATGCACGTGGAGGCGCTCTTCCAGGTCCGGGCCGTCTTCTGATTCGCTTTTCCTCGATTTTGTAAACAATATTCGTGGTCTAATCTTTCTTCGGAAGCAGGTCCTTATTAAAGTTCCTTGTTACGCTTTGAAGATCGTGAAGCTCTGTTGTAGCGCGAAGATTCGAAGGTAGTCTTCGTCTTTGGAAGAGGTGCGATCGGGGATATATTCGAAATCCAAAGACTGGCGTATCGCTGTGTCAAGTATATGGGTTTCAAGGACTAGAATCAAGTAATGATCCCATGCAGAAAAATAAAGAAAAAGAGATAAAAAAAAAAAAAATCAGGTAGAATCTCCCAGCGTCTTCCGCCAAAACAAAAGCGCATCGGCTGAAGGCTTCCAGAACGTAC